TTTCGTTCATATTATTGAGAAGATAATATGAGTTTGATACTTTTTTGTACCAGACAGAGTTAACTTCTTCTATTGATTTTGTGATTATACAGGATTGAATATGACATAAGCACTTTGAAAGTATGTTGGTTTCAGGATTTAAAATATAATGAAGGTCTTTTATTATTGAGCAATTCGAATAATTCTTTCTAGTTTTTATAAAATCTAATATCTGTGTCCTTCAGACTATCCAGAAGAGAGGTTTTAAATTAGATAAAAGTAGTCTATTGCCTGTTACTGCTATTACATATTTGTTTTTTAAATTAAGGTACCATTTTGAAATATGTTCTGGATTAATGTGACCTATTTTTGTGTGAAATTCGTCCCATGTATTTAATTTTGTTTTTTTTGAATCTTGTTATATCTCTAATTGTCTTTATATTATATTTGGATAGGTATAATGCCTCTTTTTTTTTTAGTTCAGTAATACACCCTATTGAGAGATGGTAATCTATTATTGTGAATGGGCATAATTGAGGGTATATATTGATTTGATACTTTTTGGCCATCTTGGCCACTTCTACTAACCAATTATTTTTATAGTAGTATGGTTGACATAAAGGGCATGTCCAGATGGCTGTACTTAATTGAAGAGATTCTATTTCTTGTTTAATATATGGCAAGGTTTTTTTGTTTACCAGTCCAATTATTAGCAGTTTCGTTAATATTAAGAATTTCCGATCTTGTAATGAACTGGAATTTAATCCTACTTGTGAAAAGTATGCTTTATTAAAAATAGTATGTTCAACTCCCAGTTTAGACTTTATATTTTTATTGAATAGAGATTGTAAAGAAGTTAAATCCTGTTTTGTTAATGGGGTAATCTGCAATACATAGTCTAGTTGAGTTGAAACAATCTATTTGGAGACTTGTTTCATGATCAATCTATTCCATGCTTTTTGACTAGAGATTACATTGATAAAATCTTTTATTTTTTTTATGAGTTTTCATTTTGTAGCTATAGCTGAAGATTTGCCTGACAGGTAAATGCCGAGATATTTTATTGGTTCATTGATTGGATTAGTGAATATGATTATGTTTTCTATATGTAGGTTCTGTTTTCTTTCATCACTTTTGTATAAGTGATTGGTGATTAATTCAGTTTTAGACTTGTTACAGGTTATATGATTTATATCTAGAAATGATGTAAAAATGTCAGTTGCTTTCTGTAATGTGGATATACTATTGGTTAGAATTGTGATATTATCAATATATGCAAAAATGTTGTTATTACGAGATAATGTATGTTGTATATGAGAGATGACTGGATCATAGAAAATGATCCATAATAATGGGGCTATCGTTTCACCTTGATCTATACCCTGGAATATTTATATTGCTTGAGTCAAATTATAATTAATAATGAATTGTAGGGTTCGATTCTATAATAAATTGAAGATAATGTTGATAGATTTTTCTAATAGCTTTATTCTTCTCATGCCTGCTTTCAAACTATCTAGATTGACTGAGTCATAGGCCTTGGATATGTCAAATTAGGCTAACCGATATTTTTTGTTCAAATTGGAATAGGTGTTAATAAGAGATCTTATTATCGTAATTAGTTCTATTGTGTTTTGATTCTTCGTCCCTGCATAATTAGAAGGTGACAGGATGCTACTTTCTATTAATACCCTTGAAAGCCTATTATTAAGAATTTTTGTAAAAATTTTTCGACCAGTTTCAATTAAAGCAATAGGCTGAGTGTCATTCAAGTTATGGGACCAAATTAGTTTTTTTAGAAGAAGGGTGATAACAGATTGTTTCCATTGTTTTGGAGGGTTTTCAGTATCTAAAATGTCGTTATAAATGTCTTTAGTGTCTCTGTTACTATAGATTCTATGTGTTGCCAGGCCTCATATGAAATTTTACTTAGACCAGATGCTTTGTTTGATGAAAATGAAGTCATGGATTTCTTGAGTTCATCTATACTAATGTGTCATAAAATACTTTTATATATGCGATTATTTATTTGTTAAATTGGTTGATACTTGATTATCCATTGGTCATTAACTGTAAATGGTTTAGGTGTCAACATTTTTTTGTAATGATTTGTAATAATGTCAGCTAAGGTGTCAGGGATCATCCTGAAGCTAGATTCTATTATGTAATATTGATAAGTCTAATAAGGGGTTGAGTTCGTTCAGTGTCAATTTAATATATTTTTTGGAGATTGCCAAAAATTGATATAATTTTCTTTAATCCTTTTTTGAATCCTATTCTTAATTAATGAAGCTGTTTGAATTTGCTTTTCTGTCAATAGTATTTTGAATAGTTTTTTTAAGGAAGCCGGAGAAGGAGAAGATCCTGTTATTCTATTGTGGAACTTTGCAGCTTCTTCGCCTAACGATATACTTGTTATGTTTGTTACTAGCATTCTCAGAGCTAGTTTAGTTTGTTTTGTAGCTTTTTCCAGTTCTGGGAATAGTTTTAACTTTTTATTTAATGGGAGTTGACCTTTTCTCATTGAAATATTCTTGTCTAGGGCTTGCTTAATTATTTCTATAAAGAATAAACACTTTGGCTTAGGGTTAGTATAAGTTTAAGAGAGATATCTTCTTATAGGGAAGCTTTTTGTTCTGGCATAGCTTTATTAAATTGATATATGTTAGTTGTATATTTCACTCTGTTAGGTTTATATTCGAACCATTGAAACATTATTTTGATTTGTTTATGATCTGTTGTGATAGCTTCTGATACATTTACTGTATAGCTTAGCATCTTGCTTGTTAGGTTTGATGTGATCCAGACCTGATCAATCCTTGATGCACTTGTGCTAGTATAATGTGTGAACAAATCAGTTTTGGCCATAATCCTAGCTATATCCATGAAGTTGTGTAGGTAATTGTAAATTTTTCTTTTTCTATTGTTCATCGGAGCATTTATTGCAGATGATTTATGAGGATATGTATTAAAATCACCTGTTATAATTATTTTTTTTTTCTTATTATTCTTTAAAAATTGTGAAAGAGTTGATATTGCAGTATTTCTGATTCGATCATCATACGTAAGATAAAGTGCTATTATTATTATGTTTATTTTAGGTTTAAATTTTAAATGCATTGAGCACCAAAATTCATTTTCCATATATATTGAGAAGATGTGGTTAGTCAAGGTTTCAGAAATTAGTATACAAGTTCCGTTGCTTAGAGAATTGTTTGGTTTGCTCGCTATTATTGTATATTGGTTAATTTATTTAGTAATGGGTGATACACGGTATACTTTGTTTCAGTACATATAGTTATGTCCCTAAAATTAGATAAAGATTCAATGAAGCAGCTAAGTTTTCCATGCTGATTAAATTCTTGTACATTAATATTCGTTACAGATAAAAGGTTACAAATTGTATTATTATTATTGGAGTCAGGAAGAGTTTTTTCAAGGGAGTGACTATTATTTTTGTTTTTTCTTATACTCATTAAAACAAGATTGGAAGAAAAGCGATTCTAGATCCAGCAGTTCTGGTTCAAAGACAAATTTAGATGGCAGTTTTTTAAAGTAGAAATGTTTATGTAATTCGTTCACTTGTACATTAAAGTTTAAGTTCTCTGCAATGGGAAGTGTGATGTTGATACGATTATTTGTTAGAATATTTATGGTCTCCTCTAATGATGGGAGTTTAGGCAAGACAGGTTGGATCCATTCCCTTGGGATTGGACTATGATATGTTTCTTTGATTTTCCTTATTGTCTTTTTGAAATTGGGAGAATCTTTATGAAGGTCTGTCACTGTAATATCTAGATTTTGTTTTAAAGATTCAAGATCTTTTGGTATGAATGGCTTATTGATTTGAGATAGATCATTAGATATCCATTCGGAGCTCAGCAGGAGTTTAAATATATATGTTGCCTTTAGATGATCCATTAATGGTTCTACATCTTCTTGGCTTTACATAGGCAATAGAATGTTGAATTCTTTGCTATATTGGCATGGTTGGGAAAGAGATTGTCTTGGTTTGATATAATCGAATAGGAGGGCTTTTAGTGTGAAATTGCCTTCCCTTAATAATTGAATGGCTTCTTTTTTAGCTATGGAGTTGTTGACTACTGGAAAATGAATGGCTAGTTCTGTAGGCAGTTTGGTATAAGAAGCAGGAAGATGTTTTTTAGGAGGAGGAAAGTCAAAATATGTGTCCAGAAGTTTGCCTGGGACATAGTAGTGATCGTGAAGATCATTGATCAAGGCTCCTAGGTTTTTAAGTTGAGCTCATTTTGTAAATGGAAATAGGTTTTTAACTTCAGGAATAAGTTCACTAGGGTCCTCCGGAAGGTTTGGTCTTTTTTTGAAGAAAGTCTTAGGTAATAGGTCGAAGTTGTAATATGCTCTTAAGCTTTTGGCAACTGATGCTAGATGTTTTGGAGTCTGAATAGGAATGGACTGTGATAGTTTGATTTTTATTGAGACTGGGATTAGATCTGGAAATATCAGTAGTAGGAGCAATGGTTTTTTAATTTGGGTCTCATATTGCTATAGTAGTTCATTGTAATCTATTTTGGGGACTGTTGAATTCATAAAATAATTGAACCTGTATTCCAACAAGGCGGCTGCTTGCCAATACTTGAATGAAGATAAGTCTTGAGTTTTTAAAAAGGCTACAAATAAGGCTTTGTTAATTATCAATATGATTTTTCATTTAGTTGCCCTGGTAATGAAGCTAATGTTGTGTTTATTGCAATAGTTACTATAGAATTGGGTTTTTATCTTTTTGTATTGGATCTGATGCTATTCCTTGATTTTTTCATTTTGAATAAATGCGTGGAAAAATGCTCTGTCTCTTAAACCTATCTTAGTAAAGATTGCCCTTAGATTATCAGGAGTTCTGATGGATGATTCATTTTTTGTTTTAACAAAGAATTCTACTACCGATTTCAGTTCTCTAGCTAAATTATCAACTTCGCTGCACATGTTGATGATTTCGGTATGGTTAGTTTGAGGGTCATCTGTCCTATTAATTCTTTCACTCATTATCTGATCAGCCCAAGATTGTGATCGAAGTTCCCTCGGATCGTTCCTGATATCATCGAACTGTGTAGATTCTAGTGATTGTACTGATGATCCTTCAAATTGATCTGAATGCAAGCTCATGACTGTATGTATGTGTGATGAGTTTACCTGATGTTACGTAAATAGGTTGATAACCATCTATATACTATTGATTTTGAACTTTGTCCTTGTATGGTCATTCTCTTTGTTATTATTATCTGATTTTCTATTATTTTTTTTTCTATGTATTCAGTATTGGTATTTTCAACTGTGAACATAATTTTTTTTTTGTTTGCTTGGTTGATTACCAATTTCCATATTTGTTGAAAGGGCATTTTCCAGGCTCAATTCGGCATCCATATTTCGTGGAAGATTTCTAGTGTTATTGTTATTTATTTTTTTTTTTTTTATGTGTTCTCAATCAGGTTTTCTATAGATTAATAACTAATGTGCCTAATATTTCTAAATAGGGGTAAGTGGAATCGGAGATATATTCTTTCAGTGACGCAGGGGAGAGGCCAAAGTTTCTTTGTTTGTCAAGGAAAAGGTTTCTACAGACTCGTCCGTTGTAATATTTATTTCGTTTCAGGAGTGATGGAGTTTGTAATCAAGGGTGTGCTTTGCTACCTCTCTAACCACCAGTTCACAGTCAGTTCTCGAAAGTTTAAAATTGGTTTGATGGGACATGAATTCATTTAGGATAACAATATCGGTGTTAGACGCAAAACTGGATGCCATTGTTATCACAGGCAATGTTTTTCGTGTCTGTCGTTTGGCCATAAAATCGACTTTAACAACCTCTATAGGCATTTCGCTATTGTGATCGTGTATAGTATTTTGACAGGAATAAGCCATGTCAGGGGTAATTACGAATGGTGGGTGGTAGTTGGGTTTCAGTTGCTGGTTTTGTCAGGAAGACTTTAGAGATTTTGTCTTGCATACAGTATATACGATTGAAAATCATGGAGGTTTGATGTTAGTTAGTACAACATCAAGTAAATAGTATTCAGGGTTCATATTTGAGAGGTTGGGGAAGCCGTCTCCTGACTGCTGAGTCTTTTTTTTCCTAAAAATTTTGTTGCTTTTTGTTTGTGGTGTGTACTTTAAGGTTTTGATCAAATAAGTTTTTATAATTCCATTCTAAACTCTATTCTTGAAATTAATACTCTATTTAGTATATAAAGAACTTTCTTATCAGTCAATTTCTTGTTTTTAAAAACTCTCGTAACAATATTGATTTCTTTTAAGATCCTTTTTTTTGAGTTCAATTGCAGTTTTCTGGTTTCCTATCCATATTTCCAGGAATCTTACTTGCTCTCTTCTATCTAACTCTTTAATCAATTCTTTGTTGATTCCTGCATGAACTTCTTCTGGATAGTAATTAGAATTATTGCTAGTAAGCAAAACTGACTTGTTACTGTTGATCTGAGAGTCATTTGCTTTGTAAAAGATCCTTGCTATTCTAGGATCTTTTTTATTGCTTTTTTGAACCTTGCTATCTATATGGTATCCTTTATGAAAGCTATAGCTGTATATCTAATTCTAGCTTTTTAGTGGTGGTATTATTTATATTAGAGTTTAATGAGACTTCTATTTTGTATTCCTGTTTTATGTCTTCTTGGATTTTGCACAGCAAAGGATTATAGAAAAATTTTTATATCAGTGGTGAGATAATTTCTCCTTGATCTATTCCATCTTCTATCCTTATTGGTTCTGTGAGATGATTCCCAAATATTACTTTGAACTTCCTATTTTGAAACAGGCTTATCATGATCTTGATAAAACCTTTGGTTGTTTTGATCTTTTCCATTGCTTTGGTTAGCATTTTAAGGCTAATGGTATCATATGTCTTGGCTGTGTTTTGAAAGAGTATCCACAGCTCTTTTTTATTTTCTCTTGTATCTTCACAAATGTTATTGAGAATTTGAATAGGTTCTGCTGTACTCTCTTCTGGCAATTCTGTATAGTTAGGACCCCTAAAAGTGTTGTTAATCATGCAAATATTTTTCATTCTGGTGGTTAGAATTTTGATAAAATACTTTCTGGTAACTTCTAATAGTACAATTGATTTTGTATTTGCTAGTTTACATCCCCATGATTTTGGTTTAGCTATTGGATATATGTGACTTTGTTTCCAATATACAGGTATAACTTCCCATCATAAGAAGATATTCAACATCTTTTGCAGATATTCTTTTCCTTCTTGACTCAATTTCTTTAGTATTTCATAACTAATCTGGGATTTTTTTGAAGCTTTGTTATTTGAAAGCGCACAGAGAGTTTCTTTCAGTTCTTTATGTGTGATTGATTCTAAAAGATTGTCATACCATACATCTTGAATATACTGTTTTGGATCATATTTCTTTTTCTACTCTTTAGTAAGATTGGCAAAGTTGGCGTCTTGTTTTTTGAAGGCCTCTTGATGCTATCTTCTTATTTCTTTTTCAATTTCTTTTTTGTTTATTATTATATATTCCATACCATCTTGCTTGACTTTGACTCAGTCAAGTACATTTTGCTTCTTTCTTTATTTGTTAGTGAGTTTACTATCTTCTTTTGATTGTGTTTAAGATTATCATATCTTAGTTCTAAAGCTGATTTGATCTCTTCTATTACTTTTTTGGCTTCTAAGTTTTGACTTATAAACTTGAGCCCTTCTATTGCATCTTGAATATCTTTTTTCAAAGGTATCCAGGAAATATTGGAGATACTGTATTGGATGGAATAGTTATCTATCTGATGATGTGGATCATGGATAGCCTTATATTTTTCAATAGCCATACTGAGCTTCTGTACCTTTGCTATTTCTTTTGATGTCTTTGCTTTCTTAAAGACTGTTTTTAATTGAAGAGCTCTTCTATATAGCATAAATTCTAGATGTATTTGTATCATTCCTCCTTATTTGATATCAGTTTTTTGGTTTCTAATTTGTTAAAAGCTGCCCTACAAATTAGATCTTCAAAGGTTTTTCAGATTTTATTTGCTAATAGTTTTCTTTTATCTTCATTAGGTTCTCATTGAGCATAGGCTCCAAGAAAGTTTTGAGTTTATAGTTCAGGCTTTCTTGAAAGGCTTGCCATTGTTCAGGGAATGTTCTTTTTAGATTAATCCTTTGTATTTTGGATGTTGTGCAATATTTAATGGTCTTATTTCTTGTGAATAGATTATTATCAGTAGGATTACCAAAAGTATAGTGTGATCACTTCCAGTAGTTTCTTTCATGTCTTGATTTTCAAATCATAGGATTGTGTATTTTGCCAAGCTCTGTGACATCCATATAAAATCTATTTTACTACTGCTTATGGTATCTTGTCTTGTAGGAGTTTTGTTTTTTTCTTCTCATATTGCCTGTATATTTAAAAAACTCTTTTTGTTAAGAAAGTCAAATAGAGGAATTTCAGGTTACCATAAGGATCTGAAACATGTCCTGGATAAGGATGTTCTATTCTTTGATAGGTTGTATTCTGAATTAAAGTTACTCATTAAAATTTTATGAAAGCCTTGCCCATGTTTTTATCTAATATAGTTTATTAAATTGTCTTGTACTTTCTTGTGTCTATGTCTATCTGATGGGATATAAATCTGTATAATGCAGATTTTGTTCTTCTTTGTTAACATGTTGATAGTGATCATATAACCATCTGCCTCCTCTACTGATGCTACTTGTTTTTCGAGATCTTTTCTTATTAGTAGACTTATATCTGTACCATATGAGATATCTTTGTTAGTACTATGGAAGTGTTTGTATTCTTTCTGATTATTAAAAGCATATTTTGCATTACTGTGTATTAGCTTGGTCTATACAATTCTATTATCCCTATGCCTTGCTTGCTTATGTCTTCTATAAGACTATGTTGATTAGTTATGTCAGTAATATTCCTTATATTGTATGTGCCTATTCTTATTACACTTTTTTTAATGTCATTTTTCTCATCTCTATTGTTACTTTGCTTTTCCTTTTTTATTCAAAAAGTCAGTTTTTTTACTTTGTAAGAATTTTCTTAGATCCAAATTATCTACAGTAATTGTATATTGTTATGCTTTTTTTGTTAGTGTTTGCCCTCCTTTAAAATTTCTACTGATAATAAACCAGGCTTGTTTTCCCTCTTATTATTTTAAACAACTGGTGTGCCTTTTTAGAAGTGATTTGCCCCTCTTCTACTGTATCTTATTTGTCTATTAGAAGCTATTCTACCCTCTAGTCTAACTATTCTGCCACTTAACTTTTTTAAGTTGTTTAAGATATGATATAGTGGATCTTCTTTATTTTTTGTTTCTGTATTTGACATATACTTGTCAAAACTACTGTATTGGCTAGACCTTGGATTGCTAATAGGTTTTCTATTACTTTCTATAGCTGGTTTCTTAAGTCTTTCATTATTTCTTTGTCTTCTTCTATTAGTTTAAGTTCTATAGGATCTTCTTTGATCTCTTGGGTATTGCCTTCTTGGAGGTCGATGATTCTTATTATAAGAGGAGGAGAAACTAATCAATTTGTTATCAGATAATGAGTCCATAGATACCTTATTGTCTATTTCAACTTTTATATCTTGTGCTTTAGCTCTTTTTCTTTCAGTATTATAGGTCTTTTTATTTTTTGTTACTGTATTTTTTATACTTCATGATAGGTGTAGCCCTTATAAAAAATATATTATTTATAGGCTTTGTTGAGAGCCTCTCTTAATGCAAAGTATATGACTATGAAGTTTTGTTTCTTCAGTGTAAAGAGGTTTCTTGAAGTGTAATATACTTTCGCTTCTGTATCATTGAGCATCTTAGCTATCAAACTTGAGTAGAACTTTTTTATACCTAGTAGTCTTGCAAAGTTTTTGTTTCTTTCTATTGGAATATCATTAATCTTTTTGTCTGTCAGTTTTTTCCTAGAGAAGATTGCTCTAGTAGTTTCTATTCCTAAGGAGTCATCCATAATATTTCTGGATTTGTCTTGAGATAGTTATGTCACTTAATATAAGCCTTGACTATGTTTTTGTTTTAACCTTGTATTTCATATCTCACCATACCTTTTGAGATATTCTTTTATAAGGTGTTGTGAAGTTTTGTGTACTATATCTATTAGACTAACATGTCATATATTCTCTTCTTCTTCCTTTTTTCTTGATTGATAAATCTTCTTATCTAGTATTTCTATATTTTGTGTTAGGTTAGTGCACTTGTTTTCGAGTTGTTGTAGACTAAAAGC